CCCTTCCTTAATTAGTTACTAAAAACACTGGCCAAGGCCAGGCCCAGTAGCTCATACCTGTTATCCCAGCCATTAGGAGCCAAGGCAGGAGGATTGTCTTGAGGCCAGGAATTGGAGACCAGTTTGGCAACATATGAGACCAATCTCTACACAAAAAAATATTAGCCAGGCATGGTGGCACAGTCTGTAGTCCTGGCTACTGGGGAAGCTGAGTTGGGAGGATCACTTGAACCCAGGAGTTCCAGGCTGCAGTGAGCTATGATCAGCCATTGTACTCCAGCGTGGGGTGACAGAGCGAGACTCTGTCTCAAAAAACAAAACAAAAACGTTGGCCAAACTGGCACAGTGGTGTGCCTATAGTCCAAGCTACTCAAGAGGCTGAGGTGGGAGGATTGCTTGAACCTAAGAGTTCAAGAACAGAAGTTGAAGTCCATCCTGGGTGACATAGTGAGACGAGACTTTTCTTTTTTTTTTTTTTTTTTTTGAGACAGAGTCTCACTTTGTTTCCAGGCTAGAGTGAGTGCCATGTGGTCAGCCTAGCTCACAGCAACCTCAAATTCCTGGGTCAAGCGATCCTCCTGCCTCAGCTCCCATGTAGCTGGACTACAGGCATGCGCACCATGTCTGGCTAATTTTTTGTATATATTTTTAGTTGGCCATTAATTTCTTTCTATTTATAGTAGAGAATGGGGTCTCACTCTTTTTTTTTTTTGAGACAGAGTCTCGATTTGTTGCCCAGGCTGGAGTGAGTGCCATGGTGTCAGCCTAGCTCACAGCAACCTCAAACTCCTGGGCTCAAGCAATCCTCCTGCCTCAGCCTCCTGAGTAGCTGGGACTACAGGCATGCGCCACCATGCCAGCTAATTTTTGTATATATTTTAGTTAGCCATTAATTCTTTTTTTTTTTTTTTTGAGACAGAGTCTCACTTGTTGCCCAGGCTAGAGTGAGTGCCATGCGTCAGCCTGGCTCACAGCAACTCAAACTCCTGGGCTCAAGCATCCTACTGCCTCAGCCATCCCATGTAGCTGGGACTACAGGCATGCACCACCATGCCCGCTAAATTTTCTATATATATCAGTTGGCCAATTAATTTCTTTCTATTTATGGTAGAGACGGGTCTTGCTCTTGCTCAGGCTGGTTTTGAACTCCTGACCTCGAGCAATCTGCCCACCTCGGCCTCCCAGAGAGCTAGGATTACAGGGTGAGCCACGCGGCCCAGCCCCATTAACTTTAATGCCTTGTTCTTAAATATGAGCAGTCAAGGATTGCCAGACATTTAGAGCAAGCTCTCACTTGAAAGAAGTCAAAGCAAACAGAAAAAACTCAGAGGAAAGGACAATACAGGGAGTAGGAGGGAAAAAAGGATAAAAGAGGATAAGCACAATTAAGATAACAACACACTTAGGTATAAAAATAAAGCTAAATTAAAATTCAGTGGAGGCCAAGCGCGGTAGCTCAGGCTGTATCCTAGCACTCTGGGAGCGAGGTGGGGATCGCTCAATGTCAGGAGTTGGAAACCAGTCTGAGCAAGTGTGAGACCCTGTCTTTACTAAAAATGAGAAATTAATTGGCACACTAAAAATATCTAGAAAAATAGCGTCATGGTGGCATGTGCCTGTAGTCCCAGCTACTCGGGAGGCTGAGCAGGAGATTGCTTGAGCCCAGGAGTTTGAGGTTTGCTGTGAGCTAGACTGACGCCACGGCACTCACTCTAGCCCGGGCAACAGGGTGAACTCTGTCTCCAAAAAAAAAAAAATTCAGTAGGAGACATAAGATAAATTGAGAAATTTAACGAAAAATAGCTAAAAAGACAAAAAGATACATATGATAGAAGAAAATTGTTGAAAATCAGAGTGGATCAGGAAGTTCAACATCTAAGAGGAGTTCCAGAAAGAAGTATTTGCAGATGGAAGAAAAATTAGCAGAGAATACAATCTTTCTAAAATGTACAAGTTGTAAGTCTCTTGAATTCCAGCATATATGAATTTTTAAAACCCATGCTAATTTTATTAAATTTCCAAATGTTCGAAATGCCAGGTATGATAAAGAGACACAAGAATAATAATAGCAAGCGTTGTATATAGTGCACACTCTGTGCCAGGCACTATGGACTTTATATATACTAATCTTCCAACACCCCATTTTGCAAATGAGGAAGCCGAGGTACGGGGAGATAAGAAATTTATCTAAGTCATGAAGGCAGTCTTGTGAAAGGTTGACTCCCAAACACATGCTTTTAGTCACTACGATCACATCAAAGGCTTGGGGATAAGAATGACATCAGACTTGTCAACATTGGATTGGAAGCTAGAAAACTATAAACAATGTCTTCAAATTCTGGAGGTAAATGATTTTTCATGTAGAAATGTATACCAAGCCATATTTTTCAAACAAGTAGAATAAAGTATTTTTAACACACAAGGTATCAAAATGGCTTCACCCCATGCACTCTTAGAAACTACTGGAAATGTACTCCAGCAAACAAAGGAGCAAACTGACAAAGAGAAAACTGGATTCAGGAAATGTCACCTGGCACAGGAGAAAGATGCAGGTAAAAGCGCTCAGAGGGGCACCAGCCATACTGAACCAGGAGCCGGGGAGCTTCCAGGAAAGAAAAGTGGAGCTGATAGAGTATTCATGCATTTAATTGTGTGAAAATGGTATGGAAGGATAGTGGAGATGTAAAAGAATTAGTGATAATCACATAGAAAACTATCAAAGGAAAACGAAAAAAATGAAGCAAGCCAGCCAAAAACAACTTTGAAACAAATCCACTTATCAACTCCAGCCAAAAACACTTATAGAACAAATGAAATACATAACACTTAACCATCAACAATGAATTTACATAGTAATAATGTAAAACTGTTTAACATCACCAACAAAAATAAGTAAATTTCATCAGTTTTCTCCTGCTCAAAGCTCTTTTTTTTTTTTGAGACAGAGTCTCACTCTGTTGCCTGGGCTAGAGTGCGTGGCATCAGCCTAGCTCACACACCTCAAACTCCGGGCTCAAGCAATCCTTCTGGCTCAACCTCCCAGTAGCTGGGACTACAGGCAAGTACCACCATGCCCAGCTAATTTTTTTCTATTTTTCGTTGTCCAGCTAATTTCTTTCTATTTTTAGTAGAGACAAGTCTCACTCTTGCTCAGGCTGGTCTTGAACTCCTGACCTTGAGGATCCTCCCATCTCGGCCTCCCAGAGTGCTAGGATTACAGGTGTGAGCCACCGAGCCTGGCCCAGTGTGTAGCCTATTTCAAAGCTCTTAAATAGCTTTCCCTGCATATTCCTGCCCCTGCTACAGATTTCCATCTTCCTTTCATGGCACTCTCTAGACCTCTTTCACTAAGTTCTGACCCACTAAGCTCCGTGGGGCTTTGAAGTAATCAAGATCCTTTGTACTTTCAGTTCCCTCTGTCTGAAGCCTCACCTCAGATTCTACCTGGCTGGCTCTTTCTCAGTCTTGTCTCAGTTAAAATAAACCCTCCTAGTAAAGGTCTGACCTCCCAGTCAACACCCAACTACACTCCAAGGCATCACCCTATTTATTTGCTTCACAGCTCTTCTCCTAATCTGTAATTACCTTGAGAGTATATTAGTTTGCTTTGTAATTATCCCCTTCTGCTAGTATGTAAGCTCCAAGATGGTAAGGATGCTTGGTATCCCCAGCACCCAGACAGTACCTCGTTCATAGGGCTCAGAATATATCAAATGAATGAATGAATGAATAAGTGAGTGAGGTATACATTGGAGACCCTAGCACATTCTCTTTTCACACTTTCCTGGCTCTTGATGTCTCCTAGCAATGCAAGCTGGTACCACCAATCTCCTAACACAGGGCTTCAGAGAAGAAATCTGGGTCTTGGGCCTGGTCTCCCACTTGCACGGTGCTCTGACTATTCATAATCTAGCTTGGGGTGGGCAGTAGAAAAGCAGAGGAATTTGATTGGATGCTTCCCTGGTCTGAGTCCTCTTAGTTAACCTAGAAAAGGTTAGAGGCTTTGAGCAAGGTAGGCGCCCAACCCTTCCTTGGGGAGGGGCTAGGCAGCAAAAGGGGGGGTGGCAGATAGGGAAGGTAATGGGGCCTCGGGTGGGAATTAGAACAAAATCACAGGGTCAGGCAGAGGTAGGGAAGGTGTCGGAGGAAAAAGAAGAGGAAGAAAAAGGAGAGGAAGCTGGAGCTTAGAGGAAGAGAAAGAGGAAGGGGAGAAGAAAGGACAGAAGGATGGAAGGAAAGGCAGTGGCTAGGTAACCTCAGCACCTGTGAGCTGCTGCCTTTACTACCTCACAGGGGCTCTGAGGAGACTCCTTCCACTGCTGCTGGGGAGTGCTGGTGAGCTTCAGCTCTTGCCTTGCCGTGCCTTTTTTTTTTTTTTGAGACAGAGTCTTGCTCTGTCACCCAGGCTAGAGTGCCGTGGTATCAGCCTAGCTCACAGCAACCTCAAACTCCTGGGCTCAAGCAATCCTCCTGCCTCAACCTGCTGAGTAGCTGGGACTACAGGTGCACACCACCACGCTTAGCTAATTTTTTCTATTTTTAGTAGAGACGGGGTCTCACTCTTGCTCAGACTGGTCTCAAACTCCTGACCTCAAGCAATCCTCCCGCCTTGGCCTCCCAGAGTGCTAGGATTGCTGGCGTGAGCCACTGTGCTCAGCCCAGCCCTTACCTTTTTGGGTGATCTCAGAAAAGTCTCCTGGCCTCTCTGGGTCTCAGTCTCCTCGTCTGTGGAAGAGGTACAGCCATCCCCACCTTTGGCAGGAAAGGTATGGAGGGAACTCATGAGATGTGCTCCTGTAAATTACTGCTGATTAGATCTACTCCACTAGCAGTCCCTGAGGAAACAAAAGCCTGACACTGCTCTGTTCTCCAAGACGGGGGAGGTCTAGGACAGGGGTATCAATTGTCCCAAATTAATGTGAGAAGTAGCAGCTGCCATTAGAGCTAGTATGGATAAAGAGCTAAGAGAGGCCACATCATTTCCTTTTTTTTTTTTTTTTATGACAGAGTCTTTACTTTTAAATGTGTATCAGTACACCAAGTAATAACATGTAACAAGTTTTTGAATTCTATCATCTAGTAATTTTGAGTAAGAGAAACTAAAAGCAGCCCAAACAATTACACTAGTATCCACTGTTCTAACCATTAGCAAGAATGGACTACTTTCAGGTTAGCGGCAGCTACACAGGTTACAAATAACTACTTACTACTTTTTCATAGATAAAGCCCCTGACCTTCAAGAAAGCATTAGGGCAAAAAATTACTTAATCCCTTTCTTTCTTCAAAGAATTGTTTTGTTTTGTTTTGTTTTGTTTTTACTAGATCTAAGAAAGAAAAAGTCAACATTGATGTATATAGTAATTGAGCTAAAAGGCATAGGAAAACAGATAATGTATACCTATTAAATTTCTAAGAAATATGAGGTAAAAAGATGAAATCTTTAGATGAGCTCTAGGTCTATACAAAGAAGCTAGATTTGCTACTCTCCAAAAAATGAAGGGATCTACTATGTAATATACAGAAATAATTTAATGCCTTTCATAAAGAATGTAACTCAAGTTTTGCTAAAGCTTCTTATTCCATGTAGGCATCTAAAATGCCAATTCATGGAATAGGCACTTCTTTCTCCTCCTCCTATCCATTTATGCGGTAGTTTTCATGGATTTCTGGCCGGATGTCGCAGACAAAGGCCAAGAGGTTATCCAAGACTTCATCTCTGTTCTGACGGAAGTAGGTCTGGAGGATGGTCATCTTCTCCTGGGTCTCCTTCTCAACTTCAGTGCTGCAACTGCCATGAGAGCCCAGTGCCGCAGCTTCCTTGGCCTTGAACTCCTTCTCCCTCTGCAGGCCGTACTGTTCAATTTCAGCCTGAGCCTCTTCTTTGGCCTGCTTCAGCCTCCAGTTCTTTCGCTTGCTGGCCTCAGACACCTTCTCAGCGGCCCAATTCTCGGCCCGCAGTAGCTGCTGGATCCCCTGCGACTGACTGGCCATGGCGGCTGCAACTCTGAAGCCCAGGCGACCAGCCTAAGTTGGCTCCGAGACCCTTTGGGTCAACTGACCTGGCCGCCCACAATCTCATCATTTCCTTTTCAGAGGAGCTTCAGGAAGCCTTTCAGGGCTCTTCAGGATAGGTGGAATTGGGAGTTGGATGTGCAGAGAAGGGGGTGGACATTTCAGATGTAGGGAACTATGGGAGCAAAGGCAGGGGCGGGGGAAAGTGGGGACCATCTGACTGGATTTCAGCATGTGTGTGGGGGATCAAGCTGGGAAAGTAGGCTGGGGGAGACTTCTAAGGGTGCTGGGGACTCCCTGGCCGGAATGGGCTAGGCTAGAGATGCCTAAAAGCCTTCATCATCAATCCCCCTGAAAATTTTAGTAAGAACAAAAATTCTAAATTATAGCGGCACCCTTTCTTCCATCCCCAATTAAAAACCAACAAGGCTTATAGATCTACCGTCAATAACATGGTTCCATGGCGGTTATGGGGATGTAGCCATAGACAAAATACATACTGTCCCGTTCCTCTCAGCACACACATAGGGTCCCTGGAGGCCACCTGGGCCAGATCCCCATTATACATATAGAGAAACTGAGGTTCAGAGAAGAGAAGCAATCCTCCCAAGGGCATTGGTGGGTGGGTGCCCAATCACCTGACTCCTAGTTTCTCATCACAGCCCTATTATCTTGGGGACCTCTGTCCAGTTGAGGTCCCCTGCCCTCGCACCACCTGCTCAGCTCTGGGCCTCTGCTATTTTGTTCTCTAGCTGCCATTGCCTTCTCCACTCCAAGATTTCCCAAGTTTTCGTACTGGGACAAACCGCACCAGTGTGGCTCCTATGGGGCAGGTATCTGAGCTCCCTGGAGCAGCAGAAGGGTGTGCTGCACCCATGCATGTGTTTGCCTGTGCCAGTCCACCTGTCCTGTCATTAAACATTTATCGGCTTGCACTAGAGAAACACTTTTGACTTGAAAAGACTGGGGCACCCAGTCTCTTGGGAGATCAGGCTTATGAAAGGCTAATCACAAATGTGGACCAAAAGACAAGGCCAAACACACTAAGGCCCTCATGAAAGCAGGGAGGTTGGATTGCCAAGATGTGTTGGAGGAGAACAGAGAGAACAGACTGGATATGGGGCGAGGGGAGGAAAGAGCCTGGCATGAGAGGTCCAGATGATGGGGCCAATTACATGTTCACATCTTTTCCCTCCGTTCTGGGTGTGGTTGGTTTTCAGAGCATGATATTGTGGAGCAGAGAACTTGGCTATCCCTGCAAGATGCTTTACCAGAGCCTAACAGCTCAACCAGGGATTCCTGGGAGGGGGGCAGAGGCAGACCCAGAGGGAGTGCCTATCTTCCTGTCAAATCTCTGGGATCATCTTATCTGTGAGCTCTAGAAGTCCCAGTCCCAGACACTTCCAAAATCGAGCCACAGAGGACTCCTGAGAAATCTACTCTCCGAGTTGTGTCTTATATTCTAGTGCAAGAGTCTGAGTTCTTGTCTGAAGAAGCCCAGCAAATGCCAGGGAGAGGGTGAGAGCATCTGAAACTTCCAGTTCCCATAAGGTAGCCCAGTGCTCTTGAACTTCAGACCTGTATGTCTACCTGCCCACTGGACATCGTCTGGATATCCTGGAGCCATCTTGGACTCAATGTGTCCCAAACTGAATTCATTATCTTTCCTCCTACCTGACCTCCCAGATGTTTTGCGTCCTCATTTCAGCAAGTAGCAAAATTATTCATCCAGTTACTCAAGCCAGAAACACAGGAGCTACCCAGGGTTCCTCTTTTCTCCCACCTCCCATCTCCAGCCTTAACATTGCCTAATCCAGTAGCTAATTCTGCGCTCTCATCTTACCCAGCGGTTCAGCAGCATACAAATTAGATGTCCACTCATTGAGGAATGGTTTTCTCTCGTAACACCACACTCTGACAAGTTCTTCCTGTCTCACTTGCTGCTTCTCCTCTGCTCAACTGCCAAATGTGGGAGTATACCAAATCTTGGTCTTGTCTACCTAGATTCTAATTTTAGTCATTCTTCTCCAGTTCTTTGACTTTAAATACTGTCGGTACTGAGTGACACTACCAAATCCGAATCTCTAGCCCTCATCTCTCCTCTAAGCCTCAGATTCATAAACCCACCTGCCAACTTAACATACACCTTCAGTGTGCTTTGTCCTAAACCAAACTCCTGAGGCCACAAGTGTTCAGTTTGCACCTCATCTTCCCTATCCCCAAATGAGTCACCATCCATCCACCAAGTTGCCAAACACTCAAAACCTCTAAGCCAGCCGGGCATGGTGGCGCATGCCTGTAATCCTGGCACTCTGGGAGGCTGAGGCAGGTGGATTGCTCAAGGTCAGGAGTTCAAGACCAGCCTGAGCAAGAGCGAGACCCCGTCTCTACTAAAAATAGAAAAAAATTAATTGGCCAACTAAAAATATATAGAAAAAATTAGCTGGGCATGGTGACGCATACCAGTAGTTCCAGATACTTGGGAGGCTGGGGCAGAAGGATCACTTGAGCCCAGGAGTTTGAGGTTGCTGTGAGCTAGGCTGATGCCACGGCACTCTGGCTCAGGCAACAGAGTGACACTCTGTCAAAAAAAAAAGACCCCTTTAAGCCATGCTTGATTCTACATTTCTCCCACACCTCAGTTCAAAACAAACAAACAAAACCTATAGATCCACCTCTGAAATATGTCCCCAGTATATCCACTTCTCTCCATCTATATCTGCCATTAGCCTGGCCCAAGTCACCGTCATCTTTGGTCTGGACAACTGCAGTAACTCATCCCCCTGCTTCTTACCCTCCTTCAATTCTTTTTTCTTTTCTTTTCTTTTTCCCCCCTTCCTTCCTTTTCTTTCTTTCTCTCTCTCTCTTTCGAGTTTTCATTCTGTTGCCCAGTCTGGAGTGCATGGCATGATCCTAGCTCACTGTAGCCTTGAACTCCTGAGCTCAAGCAATCCTGCCACCTCAGCCTCCCAGCTAGCACATTACAGGTGCATATGACCACGCCCAGCTAATTTTTCTATTTTTTTTTTTTTTAGAGATGAAGTCTCACTATGTTGCTCAGGCTGGTCTTGAACTCCTGGGCTCAAGCAATCCTCCCGCCTCAGCCTCCCAAAGTGCTAGGATTATAGGTTAGGCATGAGTTACCGCACTCAGCTGCCCAAGTCTTTCTTAACTTGGCAGCCAGAAGGCTCATAATACAAAATATGATCACATCACTCTCTTTCTTAAAACCCTCCAAAGTTTCCATAACACTAAAATTCCAAATCAAAATGAAATCTAAAATGAAATCCATGGTTAAATGATCTAATCTGACCTCTCTTCATGTCTCCTGCACTGTACATACCCAACCACTCTCCCTCTTGCTCACTAACTTCCTTTCACACTGCAGTATACCGAGCCTTTCCTGCTCTAAGCACTGGTTGTTCCTGCCACCTAGAACTCTTATTCCTCTTGGTTTTTGCTCAGCTTAAATACTACTTTCTCCAAGATGAGGCGAGAAAACCCAACTAGTTTGTACCAACTAAAAGTAGTTTGACCAATAAAAGTGATTTATTATCTTATATAACCAAAGTCCTAAAGTAGGGTATTTCGGGAACTTGTAAATTAAGTGGCTCAGCAATGTTGTCAAGGATCAAGGTCCTTTCTATCGTGCTGGTCTGACAGTCTCAGTCTGCAGGCTAGCTCTCTTTTCAATCCTATCCTCACATACCAACATCTAGAGGTAGAAACATCTGTATCATTTTAAACAGAACTAAGAACCTTTCCCAGAAGTCTCCAACAGACCTCTTCCAACTTCTGACTGTCCAGAACTAGGTCACATGCTCACCCATAAACCAATCAATAACCAGGGCAATGGCAACACAATGACCAATCAAATAGACCAATCAAGTGGAGGAGGGCAGGACCCCAGAACAAAATCAAAACTCTGAAAGAATGGAGGAGGGGAAAAGGTCAATTAAGTAGGTAACTTTCAGTGTTACTACATTTTCCCTGGACCATGAAATCTAAAGGTGCCCCAAAGCACTTTTCATAGTGTTTAAAATACAGTAACATTTAAAATTTAGTTCATAGTACATATCACCATCTCAGGCAATATAGCATAAGGGCTAATAACACAGACTCTGAAGCCAAACTGCCTGAATTTGAAACCTGGCTCTACCACTTTACTAACTGTTAAGTTATAATACTTAACCTCTTAGTTTCCTTATCTATAAAATGGGTATGACAATAATAATATTCTCTACCTCATAGGGTTGCTATGAGGACTAAATGAGTTGCTGTAAGGATGAACTATGTAAAATGCTTAAAACAGCTACCCTAGTTCCAGTTTGTACCTGAGTCCCAGCTGTATCCTGGAGACACTCCTGTATCCTTATAATAAATGCCCTTTTCTTGCTAAAACCAGTTTGAACTTGTTTCTGTTACATTCATTAAATTTTAACTGCTGAATAATATCCTTTGTATAAATATACTTCAATGTACCCATTCTTCAGTTGATAGTCATTTTTTTTTCTTTTCTTCCTTTTTTTTTTTTTTTCCAGAGATAAGGTCTGGCTCTATCACCCAGACTGGAGTGCAGCAGCCTGATCATAGTTCAACACAGCCTTGAACTCCTGAGCTCAAGCAATCCTCCAGCCTCAGCCTTCCCAGTAGCTAGGACTCTAGGTGTGCACCACCACACCCAGCTTTTTTATTTTATTTTATTTTTTATTTTAGCGAATTATGGGGGTACAAGTGTTCAGGTTACATATATTGCCCATGCCCCCCTCCCCCCTCGAGTAAGAGCTTCAAGCATGTTCATCCCCCAAATTACTTTTTTATTAATTTTTGTAGAGACAGGGTCTCACTATGTTGCCCAGGCTCGTCTCAAACTTCTGGCCTCAAGTGATCCTCACTCCTTGGCCTCCCAAAGTACTGGGATTACAGGTGTGAGCCACCCCACCCAACCCTGTCATTTATTTTCAATTTTTCATTTTCACAATCAAAATAAATTTCTTATATGTGACTCTTTGTAAATAGGCACTAGGGCGTGTACCTAGAAGTGGAATTGCCACACTTTCGGGATTTTAATTTCTAAAATCTGACTCTCTGCCCTTTCCTGCGCTTATTCTCTCACTCCCACGAATTGCAAGCCTCTGTAAACTCCTGGAGATCAGTGATAATGGCCCTAGGAGGGATACAACAATAATTCTTTACAAGATTAAACCTGTTCTTGGGTCTCATAAAGAACTCTGCTCTTTCCATGGCCAATAACTCAGTGGTTCTCAGACTTGAAATTAACTCCACGATTCACCATCCGGTGTAAACGAGCTTGGCATTCCCTTGTGTGGGGTGGAGGGGCTGTGAGAGGCGAGCAGAGGCCAGACCTTAATGGGCCACGTATTCTATGCTCAGGGCAGGGAGAAGGACCGACTGATTCCTTTCCTTAGAAGAAGGATTGGGGGTTAAATCATTTCAATCACAGGACATAGGTGGCACCGGGAGCTGAAGTGAACACAAGACCTGCGCCCCAATCTTGACTGTCTTTGCTCCACTCTTTCCCTTCAATCCCATCCAAACACTGTGTGGGGCAGTCTAAAGGGTTCGCAGTGTCCCTAAGCCCCGAGAGACTTTGGGGCATAAAGTCCTTCTACCAAGCGGAACCCCTCCTTCTCCACCATTTCGCTTTGGCGCCATCTGGCGCTCAAACGCGAAGTGTCGCGCCTGCGCTCTCCCGCCCTCCGGCCTCAGTCTCTTCCCGTGGTGGTCAAATTGGTACCTAGACCTTTAAGATGCTTGACCCTGGCGGAAAATTCGAGGGCCTGAGCCTAGGAGCGCGCGCTTGAAGCTCCCTCAGATTGGTCCAGTCTGGGTAAGGGCGGGCTGTAGCAAACTCCACGGAAACCATTGGTCTTTGCTCTGGCTCCGCCCCAGGAAGAGCCCTCGGCGACACCCGTGATTGGCCAACGGCTCTAGAGGCGGGCTCGGAGCGTGGCGCCCATGCCTCCCGGGCAGTCGCGACATCAGCGGCGTGGGCAGTATGGCTATGGCTGGTGGGGAGATGCGCGAGGTCACGGGGGGAGAGGGCACTGCTGCTGCCGGCCGGTTCAGCTTCAGCCCAGAGCCCACGCTCGAAGATATGTAAGCAGTCCTTGCCCAGCCTGGGGTGGGGAGATCTCCCGCTGTTTCCCTCAGACGGGGGAGGGGCCCTCCGTGTGGTTGGGAAGAAGGCTAACAGCGGGGCTCGGGTTCCGGCCTTCTAATCTCCTCTGTAAAATGGGTGCAGCAGTGCACATCTAGTCAGTAATACCAGAACCTTCGTTTAGCCCAGCCCTTGGGCTATATCAGCGTCCGATAATGTCTGTGTCCTCCAGGAGTGGGTGGGATCACAGGGGAAAATGAAGTGCTGAGAGGTGGGAGACATTTCTTGCTGGAGGAAATCAAGGAAGGCTTCTTAGGGAAAGTGGCAGTGGAACTGCATTCTGTAAGATAAGTAGGATTTTGATGTGCAGAGATAGGGACATTCAGGTAGAGGAAACTACAGAAGTAGCAGCAGGAGATGGAATAATGAGGATGATATTGTTAGGTTTGGCGATGTTAAGGTCGGTTCAGGGGCGTGCCCATTTTACGGATGAGGAAGCCAAGTTCCATAAAGAAGAAATGACTCGCTCAAGGCCATCCAAGGAATTAGTAGCACAATCCCCTGGTCCTGTCCCCCCATTACATATCACTGGGGTACCTGCTTGGGCCCTACATCTCCTCCCCCCCCCCCATTAACCCTGGGACTTGAACTTCCACCTCTTTGTCCTATTCCAGCCGACGCCTCCATGCTGAGTTTGCTGCTGAACGAGACTGGGACCAATTCCACCAGCCTCGGAACCTCCTCCTGGCCTTGGTGGGGGAAGTGGGAGAGCTGGCAGAACTCTTGTGAGTAGATGGAAGACTTCCTGGAAGAGTCTGCATGTTGTGGGGGAGGGAAGGGGAGCAATTATTTGATCATCAAACGTTCATGGATTCAGTTTCCCTACCTCCTTGCCAGACTCTGTGCCTGGTGTTGGGAATACAGAGGTGATTCAAGTGTCCTTGCCCTCCAGGGGCACCCAGTCTCCTGGGAGAGAAAGGTATGAAAACAGCAAGGCAGAACCAGGTCTAAGAATGAGTGGTGGCAACAGCACTTGTTTTCCTCTCCCTCTGGGGCTGAAAGGAAGGTGTTTTATAGAAGACCTGCCTGAGGCATTCCAGACAGTGGGAACTATTAATACATTTGCAAAGATAGTGAGACAGAAAAGGAAGGGCAAGTTAAATTCAAGGAGAATCTGCTACTCCTTCAGTGTAAGCTTCGGAAAAAAAAATCAGGAATTTTTTAAATCTGTTTTGTTTCTTAGTGTATCCCAAGTGCCTAGGCCCAGCACAGAGTAGGCACTCAGTAGATACACACCAGTGAGTGATACGGCTGTGGAGGAGAGGGGTGGGAGATGAACTCAGAAAGATAGGATTGGGGCTACAGAGTGATGGAGAGTTTAGACAGAAGACCTGACCAGATCTGAGCACCAGAAAGATCACTGTGTCTACAGGGTATATTGGCTGGATCACTGAGAGAATGGGGCAGTGAGGAGGCTGGTGTATACCAGGCAAGAGGTGGTGAAGCCTAGACCAGGGCAGTCACTGTGGGGATGGAGAAACAAGGGCACAGAGATGTGAGGATGAGCCATTCATTCATTACAGATTTATGGGATTCAGCTGCATGCTAGGTCTTTTAGAATCAAGAGGTACAGCCTTGAACAAGGCAGATAGTTCCTGCCTTCACAGTGGGAGGTAACAGGGAGAAGGCTTTTCTAAGGAGGTGACATCAGAGCAGAGCTAAGACCTGAAAAATAGGAAGGAGCCAGCCATGGGAAAGATTGGGGCCGGGGGAGGTTGGGTGGGATTCAAGGCAGAGGGAGCAAAGGCCCTGTGACAGTTTGGCCTGTTTGCAAGGCAGAAAAAGAGTGATTTTAGGTGGGGAGAAAGAGTGGTGGACAATGACATTGGAAAAGGCTGGGGTCAGCTCATGTAGGACCTGAGGGCATTGTCAGGAGTTTAGATCTTATTTCAAGCACAGTTGGGGGTGGGTTGGGGTGGGGAAGTTAAGCAGGAAAGGGACAAAATGTCATTTGTGCTTTTAAAAGATTGTTATGGGCAAGAGTAGAAGATGAGTTAGGAGGCTTCTGCAGTGGTCCATGTCCGAGGTTTGGTCTGGGTGGCAGGTGCTAGGGCTGCAGAGAAGCAGAATTGGGTCTCAAAGTTTTGTCTCAACAAGCGAAATGTTCTTTTGGCCATTCCTTGGCTCAGGAAGAGTCACAGATGTCCAGGTATTATCTGTTGGGGTCTCTTCCCTATCGACTCTTCCCAGGGTCCAGATGGGTTGGGTTGTCCTTGGAAGAACCCACTGGGAGGTGGGAGTTTATTGCTACAAGGACTGGGATGCCCTAAGGGAGACAGAGCCCATTGTCCTAGCTAGCAACTGTGTGTTTGTCTCTCTGTGTTCCACCCCCAGTCAGTGGAAGCCTGATGACAAGCCTGGTCCCCAAGCGTGGCCCCCCAAGGAACGGGCAGCCCTTCAAGAAGAGCTTAGTGATGTCCTCATCTACCTAGTGGCATTAGCTGCTCGCTGCCATGTGGATTTGCCCCAAGCAGTGCTCTCCAAAATGGACACCAACCGGCGACGCTACCCAGCCCATCTGTCCCGTGGCTCTGCCCGAAAGTATACAGAATTATCTCATGGGGCTGTCACTGAAGACCAGGCTGTGGGGCCTGCAGAGCTTGTCCGTGAGTCCACGGGCCAAGTCTCAACTTAAAAACATGGACACAGGACCTGTAATTCAGCATGGCATCTGAAGAGCCGAGGGTGGCCTGGCCATGGAACCATGCTTTAGCCTTTTTCTAATAGACCATGGGCCTGAGGACCCCACTGCCTAAGGTGTGAGGCCCAGGAGCCTCCAGAAGATAGCCTCTTGGTGTTTTCTCTCCCAATAAAACAGTTTGGGGCAACAACTTCTAGATTCTTCCTTGACTACCAAGGGGGCTTTGTCTCAGCAGGGGTTGAAGAGAGGAACCAGGTATGCCTTGAGCTCAATTCCCATGTTTCTCTGTTGTACCTCCTGCCTACAGGGCAGAGAGATCTGGTTTTTGGCAAATTCCCAGTGGGATCTCATGTAAGTTCTTCCCCCTTCTGGACCCATAAAAGAGACTGAGTGCTGTATGTAATATTGGTTAAGAGTGCAGATTCGGGAGCCAGGCTGTCTGGGTTCAAATGCCATCTTTGACACTAACAAGCTGAATGATGTTCATCACGTTAATCTTTCTGCACAGTTTCCTCACCTGTAAAATGAAAATAATATCTGATAGGGTTGTAAGGGTTAAGTGAGTTATTTGAGTGCTTAGGACAGTGTTTGGCACATAGTAAGGTACTTGGTAAGTTTGCAGATATTTTGTTTTCCTTTTTAACTCAAAACTTTCAGGGGCCCCAGAGCAAGAAATCAGAGTCACAAATCAGGGTCTCTGATGTGGGGCATAACAGGACTTCCTCTCCACTTGGGCCCCTTGGTAAAACTGAAGACTACCCACAGCAAGGCTGATTTATTATTCTTCCCTCCACCTAAAGATAGTGTTGAGTGTGTATGATTTACCTGTGTGTGAACTCAGACACATCTCTTCTCTTTCTGAGATACCTGCCTCAAGGAAGAGGCAGGAAGATACCTTCCCAGGTAAAACAATGGATCAGATTGGACTGCTTCAGCTTTATGTCCCCAAACCCACTTTTCTCCCTCTCCAGTCATAACAGGGACCTTATCCTTTACTAATCCCTGATTTCATTCCCTCTTTCTCAGTTATCTTCTTTCCCTTCTATGTAATCAACTTCTCTTCCTTTTCTTTCACCCCTCCCACCAGCACGTAAAGCATACTTGAGTATCTTCCCTATTGACAAGACAAAACCATCAATCCTCCAGCTACTTCCCTCATGCTTCACAGCTGACAGCTGAGCCTCTTGACAGGGCTGTCTGCACCCACCCACTCTGCCTCCTCATTCTCCCCTTTATACCCCACCTCCACTGAAACTACTCACCACTTTCCCCCCAGAGTCATGACCAATGAGGATGCCAGAGCAGCAGCTGACCACTCCCACCTTCATGTAACACTTGCCTCTAGACTTCCCAGACGAGACACTTTTCTGGTTTTCTTCCTACCTTTGGCTGTTTTTTCAAGACTCTTCTTAGGTACCTTCTTGTGGACATGGTATCTCTTATTTCCAATCATATTCCTGATGCCTCCATTTTTATCTCACACTCAACATGTCCAGATTGGGGTGTCACAATTGCCCCCACTTCAGCATCTATCCTGCTTCTCATCCTGTGCCATCTCAGTGACACTGTCCTGCAGTCACCCAGGCTAACAAGTGAAGTCAGTCCCATCCCTTTTCCCTCAATCCCAGGTCCACTCTAACTCCTTTGAGGATGAGAATCCCAGCTCCTTGAGGATATCACATCCATCCTTCCCCTGTAATCCTTTAAGAGTTTTGCTGCCTTGGATCCTTTAACTTTGCTTCCAAGGTCCCTTATGGTGTCTCCTGCAAACCCCCTTGCTTTTTGTCCCCACATTCCACCACCACCCTGGAGACATGCAGTTTAATGGACCCTCTCCGTAATTTTTGAGATGGGGTTTCACTGTTGCCTAGGCTGGAGTAAAGAGACATGATCATAGCTCACTGCACCCTTGAACTGGGCTCAAATGATCTTCCTGCTTCAGCCTCCAGAGTACCTGGGATTACAGGTGCGACCACACCTAGCCACTTTTTAAAATTTTTGTAGAGATGGGGTCTGGCTACAAGGCCTAAGTTCGTCTCTAACTCCTGGCCTCAAGTGATCCACCTTGGCCTCCCAAAGTACTGGAATTACTGGTGTGAGCCACCACACCCAACCCCCAACTCTTTCTTGACCTTCAAGACCCAGCTTAAATATCACCTCTAAAAGCCTGACTTCCCCCATGGTAAGCTCCAATTGACACTGGCTGCAATTGCCTGCTCTACTGCTCACTTGCTGTGTATCTACCTACTCATCTGCAAGAGTGGAGATAAAATATTTACTTGAGATGTTTTGAGGATGAAAGTAAGCTAATGTTTACATAACTAAGCATTTAAACCTTTAACATAGTGTCAAAGTTTGTCTCCTTCACTAGACAGACTTCCATAAGATGGGTCACACATGCCTTCCTAATCCAAGCTCTGCAAAACACGGTGCCTGTTCAATCATGACCTGGTTATAATTATGGCCCCTTTCGTAGTATGGTTATAAGGGCGAAATATGGGACGACCTCTCCGCCCCTCAAACAGTAACAGGAATCCCTTTAGGCTCCTAGCCCCACTTGGCTCCAGGACAATACACTTGTCTGGAGAAACGCGTATTTCTTCCTCTCCCCACCCACCTCACTCACAGGCACGGGTGGGATGAGGATATAATACTTTATTCACTAACACGGGCCCAGGGGATATAGTGAGGGGAAGGTGGGTATGGTTTCCAGGGACCCTGGTAGGGGATTCTCCCTGCCTCCCACAGTTCCGGGGCAGCCAGGCCTGCCCTGCCGTCTCACCATTTCCCAGGCCCCGGTGCCGTGCTGCAGGAGTCCAGATTTATGCAGGCAGGTCTAAGTACCAGCGCTCCCCAGCCCTGCCGGGCACTCGCAGCCCCGCCGCCGCAACAGAACAGCGACTCAGCTGCCCTCGCACTCGGGGCAGCGCTCAGTGGCAGTGGCGGCTGTGGCACCTGCGGGTAGCTTGAAGTCCCGGCCACAACCCGCACAGATATAAAGGCGGCGCCGCATGTGCGCGCGACGGTGGCGGATGAAGTGCGAACTGAGGCGGAAGCGGCGGCCACACTCCGCGCAAGGGTACGGCCGCTCGCCCGTGTGCGTACGCGCATGCTCCGCTAGGTTGGAGCGGTGACCGAAGCGGCGGCCGCACACGGCGCAGCGGTGCGGCTTCTCGCCCGTGTGCACGCGCCGGTGTTTGGCCAGCGCCGAGCTCTGCGCGAAGCGCGTGCCGCAGTCGGCGCATGCGTACGGCCGCTCGCCCGTGTGCGTGCGGCGGTGGCGCGCCAGGCACGAACTGCCTCCAAAGGCGCGTCCGCAGTCTGGGCACGCGTATGGCTTCTCGCCCGTGTGCACGCGCAGGTGCTGTGCGTAGTTGGAGCTCTGCGCGAAGCGGCGGCCGCAGTGCGCGCATGCGTACGGCTTCTCGCCAGTGTGGCGCCGCCGGTGCTGCCGCAGGTTCGAGGCAGCCGAGAAGCGCTTGTCGCACTCTGGGCACTCGTAGGGGCGCTCGCCCGTGTGCGTGCGGCCGTGTTTGGTCAGGGCCGACTTCTGCGAGAAGCGCCGGCCGCACTCGGTGCACGCGAAGGGCCGTTCGCCCGTGTGCGTGCGTGCGTGCTTGGCCAGCGTGGAGCGGCGCGCGAAGGCGCGGCCGCAGTCCGGGCACGCGTGGGGGCGCGCCGGGTCGGCGGACTGCGCCGGCGTCTCGCTCGGGACCTGCGGGGAAAGGGGGGACAGGTCAGCCCTGACCGATAGGACCCGGAGCCAAAGACTCGGGTCTCCGCAAGCTGTCGCCTCTGTGTGCCTCAGTTCCCCATCTGTGAAATAGAAAGCAGTTCTGCCTCATAGGATGCTTGTGTGCATTAAATAATACTTATAACTCACATATCACAGTGCTGAGTGCATTCTAGCTATTTTTTATTCAACAAATATTTGACCGGGCGTGGTGGCTCACGCCGGTAATCCTAGCACTCTGAGAGGCTGAGGCGGGAGGATCGCTTGAGGTCAGGAGTTCCAGACCAGCCTGAGCAAGAGCGAGACCCCGTCTCTACTGAAAATAGAAAGAATTATCTGGGCGACTAAAAATAGAAAAAGTTAGCTGAGCGTGGTGGCGCAGGCCTGTAGTTCCAGGTGCTTGGGAGGCTTAGGCAGAAGATTGCTTGAGCCCAGGAGTTTGAGGTTGCTGTGAGCTAGGCTGATGCCACAGCACTCTAGAGAGAACAAGAGAGCAAGACTGTCTTAAAAAAGAAAAAAAAAATGAGCATGTAACTTGCTAGACTCGTTCTAGGCACTAGGGGTTCAGCATTAAACAAAAAGAAAGCATTAAAAAATTCCTGCTTTCGGGAAGAACGGGTAAGTCATGCTGATATTGGGGATCTTGCAAATTTAAATAGGGCTGTCAAGACACCTTAGTGATACGGTAACATGAACAAAGATCTAAAGGAAGTAAGAGCAGGCTGCATGGATATCCCTCAAAGGAGCATTACAGAGGGAACAGCAAGGAACTCAATAGGCAGGAGTTCACCTGTTGAGTTCCAGGAATGGCAAGAAAAAGTGGTTAAAGCAGAATGCATGAGGGGGAGAGTGATGGATGGGGTGGTGGTGGTGGTGGAGGTGATCTCTTAAGCTTAGGGCCTTGTGGGTCACAGTAGGGACTTTGGCTTTTAGTATAAATGAGATGTGGAACCATTAGAGAGGATGTCAGAAGGTTTTGAGTGGGGAAGTCACCAGATTAGACACATTTTAAAAGACTGCCTCAGGCTGCAGGGGTAGGTTGAAAACCAAATGAAGGAAAGGAGAGGGCAGAAGCAGGGGCCCAATGAAGGAGGCTACTACAGTCACCTGGCAAGCAAAGACGGTATCTCAGACTCAGGTGACACAAGTGGAAAGTGGAGGTGGTGGGAAGTGGTTGGCTTCTGGATCTATTTTGCAGTATGAGATAACTGATTGAATAACCGATTAAATGTAGGGTGTAAAGAAAAAGAGGAGCCTAAATGACTCCAAGGTGTTGGAGCCTAGCATCTGCAAAGGTGGAGCTGCCATTTACAGAGGAGGATGGTGGGAGAGCAAGTTGAGATCTGTTTTGAACTGTATCTTCACTTCTTGACACATCTGGAGCTCAGGTGTGAGGCCTAGGCTGTAGATGTTAATTGAAAAACTGTCAAACCTACAGATGGGTTTTAAAGCCTTGAGACTGGATGAGATCACCCAAGAAATGGGCAGAGAACACCTGTGGCAGCATGATGAGCAGCCAGGAAGTGAGGAGAGCCTGGAGAGTGGCATCTTGGAAGCCAGACCAGGACCGAATCCAAACTCTTCAATCAACTTTGAAGAGCAAGCACCTATCATGTTTTAAGCTGTGAAGAAAAAGGCAAAGGTAAAAGCCAAATGCTATTCTGAGGTCTGAAATGAAAAAAAACTTGAAATGCGTGAGGTCTGGGCTACTAGAGATAAAACCAGAAAAAGGAAAGAAATGCTTGGTAAGAGGCAGGTGACGGGAAAGCATTTTGTACTCAGAAGAGCGAAGAAGAATATTGAGGGCACGTTGCTCCCTTCTTAGAAAAGAGAACATTCATCCCAGCAAGTGATGTTGAGTATCTATTGTGGGCCAAGCAGTTAAGAACATTAATTCATGACCAAATTAAATACGTGACATATACTAAGGGCATGACAGTGTTAGCTTCTCCTGTATCCGATCTCCGCAAGGTAGTTATCACCATCCCCATTTTACAGATGACGAAACGGGTTAAGAGAGGGTAAGTGACAACTAGAGAACAATAGGGTCTTCTCTTTCTGAAGCTGCAAGAGGGCAACTTCAAGGCCTTCAAGACCCTTTGTCAAAAGGCATCCGCTTTTGGTAATCAACTCAGAAGCTGAAAAACAGGGCAATTTGGGAAATTAGCAACCAACCAAGGGGGATATATACTGGTCTAAACAGTATATACAAGGGTAACAATGATAATAGCAATAATGAGTATCAGTGTTAAGCTTTGACAGCACTACTATATGTACATTATTAGGTCCTCTGTCATCCCCTTGAGTCAGGTGTTATCTCTTGTGATAGCTGAAAAAGCCGAGGCTGAGGGAGATTAAATTCACATAGCCAGTGGGAGTCAATATGGACTCAGAGTGCCTTCCTTTCACCAACAGGCTATATACTCTTCTCTGAATTCAGACAGCCAAGATGTGACAGAGACTGGACTCCAAGTCCCTGGCTCTCCAAGAGGGATTCAAGGTTAAAATACAACTTGATACTTTAAATCATGAAACTCCCACAGCAGGTTTGGCAGTCTGAATTCAAGGTCACGCTTTCCAGTCTCACCCTGGTTTTGACATCTGTTGGTTTATTTCAACACATCAGCCATTGTGGAGAGAACTTTTCTCATTATATCTACATTTTTCTGGCACATATTTCCTTGGCATCCTTCTTTAAGGTGACTTTGGACAGCCTAAGAACTTCCTCATGCTGGGTTCAAGGACTCAGGAAAAAGAAATTCTCTGCACAAGTATCCTCAGTGTCTCTAGCCCAGGGGAAGGAAGGGGCTTTGGGTGCCCAAGGAAGAATCTTGGTAAGAGAGGCTGAGTTTTACTCATTAAGACCCTGGGCAAATCTTAAAGTCCCCTGCCTCAGTGTCCTGACAAAGGTTAGGTAGGCTAGGTAAGATAAAAATTTCCCAACTTGAGGTATGAGGGGGTATGTGGGCAAACTTTTATCTCATTATAATTATTATATATTTATTTTCATGGATATTAGGAAAACATTAGATCACATGAAACCCACAATTTCATCACTATTATTGTTTAGATGAAGGTAAATTTATTTAAGAAAACAATGTGAATCTATTTAAAGAAAAGCATTAATAAATAATGTGAGTATAACACATGAGCGACGCACATGACTGAAACTTGGCAAATACCACACTAGGTGATCATTAATGGCCCTGACATGTCTTAAATTCTACAACTGTTAGGTTTAAAAATTAGAATGATATTTTCACTGTAACAAGAGGGTACTGTGGAGATATTATACAGTGTAATAATAATCCAAGTATTTGAAGTTAGTGATTTTGTCTTCCTGCTGAAATATTTTTTAACCAGGGTAAACATCCCAGTTTCCTCCTCGGCCACTACTTTTCTAATTAATAATAACAACAACTGCCATTTACTGAACACTCACTAATGTGCCAAGAACTGTGCTAAGTGCTTTTTACTCAGGTTCTTATTTTAAATTCTCATGATCCTTTGGGTTAGGTACCTTAGCCTTGTTTTATAAATAAGGAAAGAAGACTCAGGAGTTAAGTGAGTACAAAAGGCCAAACAGCTAATAAATGTGCCAGGGTTTGAACTTGAAGTGGGTCATTTTCCAAAACACCTATCCTCTTACCCATGATGCAATTCCAATCTCATTTACTAGAGTTTGAGGTTACCTACATGGCTTGTCTCCCTCTCCTGGACACTTTTAGGGTTCAGAATCTTCTTTCTTTTTGATACAAATTATAAGACACGACCCCAGTCCCCTAGTTCCTTGCTGTAGGAAATGTGGTCCACAGACCAGCAACATTAGCATTGCTGGGAACTTGTTAGAAATCCAGAATCTCAAGTCTCACCCTAGATTTACTGAATCAAAATCATTTTAACAAATCCCCAAGTGATTTATATGCATGATAAAGATTAAGAAACCTTGTCTAGAAGAAAGAAGAGCTACTCCTGGAGAAAGCAAGTGGAAAAAGCAGAAAGGATTTTACGTGCTGAGATCACATGGGCAAAACATCAGAGGTGAGAGTGAGTCAGGTGTGTCTGACGCTGGGGAATGGGGATAGGAGTTGCATGGACTAAGCCAGAATGACATGAGATTAGATAGTGAGGAGCTTTGAATGCCAGACTTAGAAGCTGAGACTTCATCTTCAGGGAAACAGAAAACCACTCAAGGGCTCAAGCCAGGGAAAGACAGGTTTGGATGTGCATGGAGCACTCAGAGAAAGTTATATTTTTAAAGACAGATTGGTTTTTGATAGGCAGAGAGAGAATACTCAGTCCTGGAGTGCAGCTTAATTAAGGTCTATTCTGGACAGTGATTGGCCATGAGACTGGGTAACCAGTAAGAGTCACTGAATATCAGCACTGGAAGGCACTTTTGAGATCACCAGTTTATAGATAGAGAAATGAGGCTCAGGAGGCCTACAGCAAATTAATGAGCTATCTTGTGGGCATAGTGCTCAATATTGACAGGATATGTGTGTGAAATCCTCAGTTCTATCCTTGTCTTCCAAATCCAGTCACCCTGATGACACTTTTCAGGCTGGCATTTGAGGATCTTATTATTCCATTTTACAGAGAAGAAAGCCAAACCAAAGTTGGTAAATGGGGGAGTTGGGATCTGACTGCTATGTGATACCACTTCCAGTCTGGCCCCACATGCCTTTCCTGACTAGTCATGCCAAACCCCACCCCCACCTCTGCTCCAGCCAGTCCAAATCTGGCTCTTAAACATTCCTCTTCCCTCCATCACTCCTGCTACTACCTTAGAGCAGGCTACTAGCCTTACCTGACCTGGTTTCCCCATAACAGCCAATGATTCTTCTAAATAGAAAATCCAGTCACATCCTGCCCCTGATTTAAGGCTCCTGATGGCATCACATAACCTAAAGCAGTATGTCCTACCCTGGCTTTTGAGGCCTTTTACTCCCTGGTTCCTGCTACCTTTCTAGTTGAATCTCCTTTGAGCCTTTGCTTTTGCTGTTTCCTCCTCCTAGGACACCCTTCCTCCTCCTCCATTCACCAAATCCCAGTAAGCCTTCAAGGCCCAAGTCAAAAATCATCTCCATGAAGCCTTCCCCACTGCTTCGAGTTGTCTACCCTCAGTCCTCTGCCTGTGCCTCCCCAGTCCCCAATGTTCAGTCTTCCCTGCCAGGAGCTGATAAAAATGAGCTGAAAAAAATCTCCAGAAGGATGACGTAGCCTAGGGTCCTGAACTTTAGTGAAAATAAATAATAACAGCATAAATAAAAACAGCAACTATTTACATAATGTTTATGTGCCAGACACACTTCTAACTCTTTACACAATTTAACTCATTCAATCCTCAATTCCAAGAAGTAGGTGCTATTATAATTTCCCTTTTACAAATGAGGGAACTGAGGCTAAGGTTAAGAAAGGTGCTCAAGGTCACACAGCTGTGTAAGTGATGCAAGGTAAGTGATGCAGTTGGAAGTCCACACTAAGCTCTGAAGTCTGTGTTCCTAACTTATAGGCCAAAGGTAGAACTCAAGGGATCCACAGGGCCAGAAAAGTCAGGCTGAGCTAGGATGATGGGCCAAAGAGGTCTGAGAAAAACAGAACCAGGTTGTTATTTAGACTGGAAAAGGAAGCCTAAGGAGCTAGTCGCCTCCCCCAGCCCCCTAGGCTCTTAGAAGGCAGCAGAACTTTTCTCCCCTGGGAACCAGCCCCTGTGCAGGAAAAAATCAGCAGAAGCCTGGGCCCTGAAAGCTGGCCCTCCAGCAGGACCCAGGGCTGCTCAGGCTGGGGGCAGCCAGAGTCCTGTGGGGTTCTGGAGAGCAGAAACATACTTGGTGGTAGGTAGAGTCTCCAATGGGGAAATCTAACTCACATTCTGATCTCAAAACCCTCAGATACTCTCAGGATAAAACTCAGACTCCCTATGTGACCTGCCAACCCTGCCAATGACCCAGCTTCATCCACGACCCAGCCTCATCCATGTCACAGTATGACTGAACCACCTGCCCTCACTGCTGCAGCGCCCCACTCAGTCCTCTGAGCCTCTAAAAGGGCCCTTTCCTCTGCCTGAGGCAGTCACCCCACTTCAGCCCTCACACTCCTACTGGTACCAGGTAAGCCATCCCTTTACTAACTTTGAGACCTTGGGCCAGTTACCAAACTCTCCTGGGCCTCAGTTTCCTCACCTGTAAAATTGAATAAATGCATGGTAGAAGTGAGGTGCTTAGAATAAGTGTCTGGCACATAGCAAATGCTATGCAAGAGTTAGCTATTGTTACTGTTGCCTAACCTGACGTCCCCCACCCCACCTCTAATCCCAGCTCTGGGTTTCGCCACCCCCCTGTGCCTGCACTCATCACACAGGATTGTAACTGCACAGTTGGTTACTCATCAGTCTACTCCTGCTAGACATCAGGCTCCATGGGGATCCAAGGATGGAGGTTACTCTCCAGCATGGGGCGGTAGGTGTGACTTTTATACGATGGAAGCCTGGACGGTGGGGCAGAAGGATGGGTCATCCCTGAGGTTCTAGATCTGAGATTTAGGGGACAGTAGGGGCAGAATCCCTGGCTTCTGTCTGAGGAAGGCTGGGCCTGGACCAGTTCTGGGGGCAACAGACCCCAGGGTGTGTTGTGACACGTACCTCCTTGTTGTCCATGGGAATCTTGAGTTTCACCACCTCATACTTCTCCTCACCCTCATCCTCCTCACCCTTCACCAGCAGCACCATCTCCTCTTGCATCTCTTCCTCCTCCTCCTCCTCTGCCTGCTGTTCACCAGGCATCTTGGTGTCCTGAGGCGGGAGCTGGGTCAGAAGCTCAAGACCCGCCCCCCCCACCATGGCCCTGGCCCAGGCAAGGCGGTGCAGCCATGGCTTCTCCCACCCTGCCCTGGTGTCCAAGTCTGGCCCTTTCCCGTCCACCCCTGCCCGGCTCCACTCTCCGGGACTGCCCTGGAACCTGCTCCTGAGACTCGCGTTCACCCCACTCATCCCGGCATTCAAGGCCCCGAGCAGTTCGAATCTCCAGCCCCCGCGAGTCGCCACCCTCCTTGCGCTGAGTCACTCCCCGGCACCTGGGTCGGCGACCCGGAGCGCTAGGGCACGGGCTGGAGGAGGGATGGGGCGGAAACCCCGTGGGGGGGAGGTGCGCACTCACCAGCTGAAGGTTCGGCGCTCGAGCTGCCCAGGCCTGGGCGCCGGGCGGTTGGGCACTCAGCGAGGCCGCGGCTCCGGGGGCGGGGCGGGGGCGGGGCCCCAGGGACGGCCGGTCATTGGTCCGAGCGCCGAGCCCCGCCCCCCGAGGGAGGGGCCTGGAGGACCCAGGCGTCCGACCCAAACTGCCCGGGGAGGGCTATGAGCCCGGATCCCGCGCCCTTGCTGTCCCCCGGCTCCCAAGGACCTGGAGCCGCCCAAGTCCGGTGTTCAAGGTCCTCGAAGCCGGGTTCTAACCTGCCCTCACTGCTTGTCTCCTGTGGGCCGCTCGGAAGTCTCCGCTGCGGCCAGTGCGTATGCTCCACCCGCAACAGGCCACGTGCGCTGCCGCCCTGGCCTGGGCCTCTCGCTGGCGCCCCGCCTGGAGGGCGGACCCTGTTGCCTCCTCACTTCTTCCCTTCCCTCTCTTTTCTTCCCCTGCTGCTTTTTCTCCTTCTTTCTTGGCGTCGCCTTCTCAGTCTCCCGGCCTCTGAGATACCTTGCTGCTTGAATACATGCTACCCAAATCAACAGTTGCTCTAGCTGCCGCTGCCGTTTAAAGTGTGCTGTGCCTCCTACGCGCCAGAGTTCTCAGCGTTTTACCCGCCTGGTCTCATTTTGTCTGCACAACGATGGATCATGGGCCCATTTTACAGATGAGCTAATTGAAGTTCATGGAGGTAAACCAAGTTGCCTAAATTAATTACACAGTAAGGGTATCCTGGCACCTTGACAATCAGTAGCCCAGATGGAAAATTAGTAGCCCCAGAATACTGAAGTATATTGTTTGGCCTTCAGGGTATTTTTACTTTTACAAATTAGTTTCAAAACAAAACAAGTCTTTTACAAAGTTTTATTTACATCATTTAAAAATTGAGATATTTCACGCCTGTAATCCTACCACTCTGGGAGGCCGAGGTGGGCAGATCACTCAAGGTTAGGAGTTCAAGACCAGCCTGAGCAAGAGCAGAGACCCCGTCTCTACTAAAAAAATAGAAAGAAATTAATTGGCCAACTAAAATATATAGAAAAATTAGCCGGCATGGTGGCGCATGCCTGTAGTCTCAGCTATTCCGGACGGAGGCTGAGGCAGCAGGATCGCTTGAGTCCAGGAATTATTTTATTTTATTTTTTTGAGACAGAGTCTCACTTTGTTGCCCAGGCTAGAGTGAGTGTCAATGGCATCAGCCTGGCTCACAGCAACCTCAAACTCCTGGACTCAAGCAATCCTTCTGCCTCAGCCTTCCAAGTAGCTGGGACTACAGGCATGCGCCACCATGCCCGGCTAATTTTTCTATATATATATGTGTCCAATTAATTTCTTTCTATTTATAGTAGAGACAGGGTCTTGCTCTTGCTCAGGTTGATTTCGAACTCCTGAGCTCAAATGATCCACCCGCCTCAGCCTCCCAGAGAGCTAGGATTACAGGCGTGAGCCACCCCGCCCGGCCTATTTTTTTTTTTATTTCAGCATATTATGGGGGTACAAATGTGAGCCCAGGAATTTGAGGTTGCTGTGAGCTAGACTGACACCACAGCACTCTAGCCTGGGCAACAGAGTGAGACTCTGTCTAAAAAAAAAAAAAAAGGGATATTTCATATATACATCTGTATTTCCCACTTTTTTTGAATAAGCAGATATCTAATTCTGCCATTTTATGAATGGGGCAACTAAGATTCAGAATTGATGAAGGAAAAGAGAAATACCATTCAGTAAGGGCTTACAATTCCTATATTACCTCCATTTGATAAATGAGGAAGCCAAAGTTTAGAGAGGTTAAATAATTTGCTCAGTCGCATAACTGGCAAGCAGCATGTCCCAAGCTGGTGCTCTTCTATGCCTCAAATTCTCTCTCAGGAATGAAGTTACAGAGGAAATCGGTAGAGCCAGGACTCAAACCTGAGCCTCAGTCAGGCAAAGCCCATAATGTGGACAGTGAGATTACACCTACTCAAATTTAGAGAAGGGGGCATATGCCTGTATACTCACAGATACCCTAGATACTCCAAAGCCACTTTGATTGTGTTCATTCCCTGATCAAGCAGTTAGTCTTGCTGTGTGCCTCTCAGCATTCTGGGTATTAGAGATGCAGTAGTAAACAAAACACAAAAATCTTGGCTCCAGTGGCACTTCTAAGGATATAAAAAGTGTAAACAAATAAGTAAACAAGATAATTTCAGGCAGGGCGCAGTGGCTCATGTCTGTAATCCTAGCGCTCTGAGAGGCCGAGGCAGGAGGATTGCTCGGAAGATTGCTCGAGGTCAGAAGTTGGAAACCAGCCTGAGCAAGAGCGAGACCCCATCTCTACTATAAATAGAAAGAAATTAATTGGCCAACTAATATATAGAGAGAAAATTAGCTGGGCATAGTGGCACATGCCTATAGTCCCAGCCACTCAGGAGGCTGAGGCAGGAGGATTGCTTGAGCCCAGGAGTTTGAGGTTGCTGTGAGCTAGGCTAACGCCATGGCACTCTAGCCCAGGCAACAGAGTGAGACTCTGTCTCAAAAAAAAAACAACAAGATAATTTCAGATAAGTACAATGAGGAAAATAGGATAAGATGATACAATAAGGGGTGGCTATGTTTGGGGGGCTTCTTTAACATGGGCAGGGAAGGCATCTCTGAGGAAATAAACTTTGAGATGAACCTTGAATGATGAGAATAGGTTAGCCATTTGAAAATCTGGAAGAAGAGTGCTTGAGACAGAACTGCAGAGGCCTTGAGGCATAAGCTTGTTGTGTTTGAGGAACAGAAGGCTTGTGTGGCTGGATCTCAGCATACAAGCATACAACAAGGGGAAATGTAGCAGGGGAAAGGGAGGAAAGGTAGGCAAGGGGCCCATTAGGGCCAGAACTCCACCTCTAGGACCTCTGGTCTTGATTCAGAGAGAATCAGTGAGGAGACAGCAGGGAGCCTGCCTCTGGGGCAGTGAAAATCCCAGCTGCAAAGAGCCTCCTGCTGTGTGGAACAGGTACTGCACAAGGAAGGAAAAGGGTTCCATTCATTTGCTCTACAGACATGTATAGGTACCAATGTGCAATTGGATCTAGATCCTGTTCTTGAGAATCTCATAGCCTAGTAAAGAAGATTGTGATTAAATAAGAAAAGAAAAAGTAAAGGCTGGGCACAATGGCTCACACCTGTAATCTTAGCATTCTGGGAGGCCAAGGTAGGAGGACCCCTTGAGCTCAGGGGTTCGAGACCAGCCTAAACAAGAGCAAGAAATTAGCCAGGCATGGTGGTACACACCTGTAGTCCCAGCTACTCCAGATTCTGAGGCAGGAGGATCACTTGAGCCCAGGAGTTTGAGGTTGCTGTGAGCTAGGCTGACGCCATGGCACTCTAGCTTCTAGCCCCAGTGACAGATCGAGACTCTGTCTCAAAAAAAAAAAAAAAAATGGCTGGGCTCAGTGGCTCATGCCTGTAATTCCAGTGTTTTGAGAGGCTGAGTGGGAGGATAGCTTGAGGCCAGGTGTTTGAGACCAGCCTGGGCAACACAGCAAGTCTCCATCTCTACAAAAAATAAAAAAATTAACTGGGTGTGGTGCCATGTATCTGTAGTCACAGCTACTCAGAAAGCTAAGGCAGGAGGATCCCTTGAGCCCAGGAGTTTGATATCATGCCTGTGAATAGCCACTGCACTCCAGCCTGGGCAACATGCCAAGATCCCATCTATAAAAAAAAAAAAAAAAAAAAAAGCCTAAGAATGAATGGGAATTTGCCAGATTGACAAGGAGGTAGCAGTTTATGGAACTGTAAACTCTACTGAAGAGCATACCATATTTCACGGACACCCTTCAAAGCATTTAGGGAGGCCTGTGCGTGCCAGGCCCCAGTTAGGACTGGGAGGTAGAAAGTTGAATGTAGAAGTCTATATCTGAATCCTCATTACTCTGCCTTTCACTAGGTGCCTGCAGCCTCACTACACCTTTCCTTCAGTTCTGGAATCCCCAAGGACTTGATGCATACTCTTTATTCTGCCTAAAACACTCCATTTCCCATCTCTACCTCCTCCTTCACAGCTTACTCCAACTCAACCTTAGATCTCAACATAATTGCCACTTCTTTGGAGATGCCTTTGGATCACTTGGTATTCTCTCCTGCATGTATGCTTCCTGGATAGGCCTCACTACACTTGTAATTTGTTCAATGTCTGTCTTCTGAGTGAAAACTGAGGGCAGGCCAGGCACTTTGAGAGGCTGAGGCAGGAGGATTGCTTGAGGCCAGGAGTTCAAGACCAGCCTGAGCAACATAGCGAGACTCTATCTCTACCAAAAGTTAAAAAAAAAAAAAAAAAAATTAGCTGGGCATGTGGCACGTGCCTGTAGTCCTGGCTATTCAGGAGACTGAGGTAGGAAGATCAGTTGAGCCCAGGAGTTTGAAGCTGCCGTGAGCTATATTGTGCCACTGCACTCCAGTCTTGGCAACAGAGCAAGACCCTATCTCTTAGGAAAAAAATAAATAACCAAACCAAACAAAACAGTGCAGGGACTTTGTCTTATCTTTCTATCCCCAGTGCCCAGCACTCAGTAGGTAATGCTGTTGAGTGAGTGACCAATTAGCCTCAAGAAGCTCTCAATGTGCTCAGATAGGGGGTGCGCACAGAAGAGGATTCTAACCCAGGCTGGAGTCAGGGAAGGCCTTCTGGGAGGAAGTTATGCTTGAGGTATTTTGACAGGAGAGTTCACAAGGGGGAGTGGAAGAGCATTCCAAGGAAAGGAAACATTTAAGAGGCACAAGGCTGAAATTACACAAGTAGAAAGCCTTGAATGCCAATTAAGCCGTTATGCTTTACAGAGGGCCTGTGGAGATTCGGCAGGGATTTTAATGGGGGAGTGACATGGCCAAATGTAATTTTACAGAGTTCACTGCAGGCCAGCTAGGAAGTCAAACTGGTAAGGAAGGGAGACAGGGAAACCAGCAGGGAGGATCTTCCAAAAGCAGCAAAAGGGCTCCATTCAGGCCAATAGGTTCGTGTGTGCTTAGGGGCGGAAGCTGTCAAGATGTCCCAGCCCCTGTCGGAAAGTTCTAGGAACTTAGAACTTGAAAAGGGTGGGAGGATCGGGAGGAACTGCACTGCAGGAGCCTTTTGGGGTTTCTAGTGAACAGGTCAATGAATAAGATCTCGCGAGAACTTCTATCCAGGGACTATTCCCACACGATAAACTGAGACGCTGGGACGTGTGAACTTGCAAAGCCATTGTGTACTTCATTGCTTAGCTTGGTGAACCGCTCTGGTCTTTTTTGTCCCTGGCCAATCAAGCCAGTTCCTCTCTCTCCTTCCTTCCTACTGGCGCTCTCTCGGGAAACGCTGTGAATTGGAGTCCCACTCCCGAGGACCCGCAGGAGCTGGGAAATACAGTTGGCTTTTCCCGGGAATAGAGGCATGCTATTTGCTCCTCCTTTGGGCTGTGCAGCTAAATGACTTTTTCTCGATACATAAAAAAGGGTGTCAGGGAGGCGGGGCTTCCTGAGGTCCCTGTAAGAGGTACAAATGTCCGGCCTTCTGCTCCTGTACCAGACTAAGGCTCTGCAACATTTCTCTGGGTAGCCGTTGCCATAGCAACAGCGATCCCTGAACACCCCATCCCTCTTCGGTGTTGCTTGCTCTCCACGGTATCTCACACTTTCCCTTTTAAGGGTCCTACTTGAGACTGTAGTGTAGGTGGCGCCTGTGGG